GTTTATGGTACCCATCAAGCAGACTCCAAGGGCATTTTTGAAACATTTGGATTCGGCTTATACTTCAGTTTCGCTGGTTCCAACCATTTTGAAGGAGCATTTGAAACCACATGTTCAAGCTCTGACTGGAACCAGCGAAACTGAAGTCTTAAGCTGAATCCATGCATTTCAGAAACACCCCAAGGCTAGACTTCAATTTGGGGAACCATCTTTCTTTTTCAAATGGCAAGGAATTTTTTAAAACAATTTACAATTTTTTGTAATTAAGTGAGTTAAGATTGCGTACCCTTTATCTACCCAAAAGAAATGCCTCAAGAAGGTTAGTATTTTTGAAGATATTTATATTACACTTCTTTCCCCGGCAAAGAGAGGAAACTCGAAAGTTTCATTTAAATATTCCAAATTACATTGATACTTTCTGCAAAATAGTACAGCCAGGATGTCAGCTTTTTGAAGAGTAGCACAAATTTGACAGCAAGCTGCAAAGTGTCTGTTGCAGATCCCTGTTCCTTAGATAGTAAATGATGACATTAAGCCAACTGTTCGACATGAGCAGCACATTTGACAAGACGACTGCGTAAAAACTGTCATTGTACTCCATGGTTTCTTGCGAGGCCAGTATCGACAGCATTATTGTACAGGGCACCCAAGTGATTATCAGGGTGCCGGTTATGATGGCAATGGTGGTGATTGATCTGACGTTGACCATATGCAGCATGCGTCGGCCATGCTGATTGCTGCTCACCTCGGCTGCAATTTGCTTGCTGTGGCGTCGGGCAATGACCAGGACATGGGCGTAGATGATAAATATAGTTACGAGGGAGATAGAAATCAAGAGAATGGCAATGTAGACTCGCCAGTCCTTATACGTTTTACGGATGCAAAAGTGGGGGCTCTCACTCGACACAACTTTGTGATCGTAAAGTCCAAACAACAAAAGGCAGAGTATGAACGCTGTGGCCCAGGTCGCAGAGACGGTGACCCTCGCCTTGCGTACGGTCATCAGTTGTGTGTAACGCAGCGACCAGGAAATGGCGATGTAGCGGTCTACGGTCAGAAGCAGCAGGGAAAAGATGCCCAGGGTGTGGAATGCATTGACCGTCACGCCAGAGACCGCGCAGAGGAAGTCGCCTAGCACCCACTTGCCGGCATACAATTCCGTCAATTTGAAGACCCAGAACACTCCATTGCAAAAGTCAGAAAGTGTGAGAGAGGTCATGAATATTTTGGTGGTGGGCTGGATGCTAGTGACACGTCGCAGCGTGAAGAGCATCAGCGGATTTAGCAAGAAGTTTGTTGCAATTGCCAGCGTTGCCAAAATGGTGACAAAAACAGCAAATGGTGTATGTGAGGCTCCGTTCTCAGTGACTTTCTCAGTGGATGCATTCACAGAGCTTATCGTCCACAGACTTTCTGTCAATTCCATAGTTACCAGTGGAGCTTTTTCATGCAGGACCGAAAACCAGAGAAAAATGACAAATTTCATTCAAACAGTTTGCCAAAGGTTAAATCCGACAGATTTGCTGAAGACAAAAATGAACTTTCCTCATTTTCTGGCGGTGTCAATGTGTAAACCTGCTTCACTCATCAGATCAGCTAGTCACATAGTTATTTCCAATGCCAGCACTTTTAACTCTTTGAGAATATTTCAACGGTCCCAAAGCTCCAGATGAGTAGATTCGCAGTGCGATAGTACCGACGTCCAAACAGTGCCATACACCAGTCGAGCCATCTACATGAAGCGAATCTGTAGGTACGGAGACCGAATCTCAAAGAGATTCATGTTGATTGATTACTTCTGCCGGCACACCAAAGCAAAAGTGCAAAGGGCTATTACAGAAACAACACTATTAAACCTTGTAAACTGATCCCACACCAGCTGTGATAGATCCAAGGTAGCGTGATGTGGGCATATATGACCGTGGTTTCCTTCCGACTACCAGGAAAACTGACGGCCAGCTACGTGCAACTCCAACATCACCTAATCTCGCAGTGATGCCTCTCTCATCTCCAGCGATCTTTCTAAGGGGTCAGCTGTCAGTTGCATTGTAGAATTTCACATCAACTGGTCCTTTCCTGGCCGAAAGCCACAACTTCCTGGATGGAACGGCCTATGTTTTATTTCCTCTTTAACTGATCCCTTTAACTTCAGGCCTTTTCCTCAAATGAAATGCCAGCACATTAGTTGAAAACAAACAGTTAATAATCGTATGCTAAGCACTGTATTAGTAATTGACCCAAAATGAACACGGCTTTATAGCCTCTTTCTAGGAATAGGAAAAATTTCAATGAGGGAAGGTAACAGTATTATAATAGTAATAATCGGGTGTTTATCTTCGTCACATTGTGGATTCATTGAACAATGGCTCTCCAAATTACAAATACACAAAAGCTGGCTGTCTCGTACTCTCGTTGGGGTGTTTCGGTTTTGTTCTCTGTCCCATCAATGCATGAATGATACATGCCACTTCATTACCTTGCAGTGCCTTCCCTTTGGGTTAATCACCATACCAACATTTCTACCATAAGTTACAGCAACATCAGCATCAAGTTAGATATTGTAATTTAGTATAAGTGTGGGGAATAGCTACATTTTTAAGGGGCAATCAATATTTTTGGCTTCTAGTGAAGTTCTTTCTCTTAAGTCCTCTCCTACTTTGATTGTATTCAATCAGACATCTATAAATCACTACTTATCCATTCTATCTCTGACTTTTCATTAGCTTTAATTCAGTGTGGGGTTTCAAATGCTAGTTTCTCAAAAAAGTACTTTTGAAACTACTAGTTTGCTGTTGTCATTTCCATTTCCAAGCTCACTACCCCCTCACTATTGGAAGGCTCTTGTTTTACAACAAATACGAAGTAAAGATTTTGCAAAACTTAAAAAGTTGTCTTTAAACCTTATTTTATGTTGACCGGTTACATTTGCCGTTTCTTTTGGCCCATTTGTTTTGCGCAGATCTTGATTGCGATCAGTGATCTATCATTGGTTGGTTCTTTGACACCAGAACCACCTTGATAGATAGCACAATGCAGCCTTGGGATCACTGATGGGGATCCAGAATGGTGTGAAACAAACAGTTGTTCCATTTATGCGCTGGAGCTGCGTAGATTGTTGCTGCCTCTCCATCATGGCTCTATAACAGCCTTTCTGTTGTTCCTTGATGAGGGCACACTTAGCACTGAGAACCCTTACATATTTTGGTCTACCTGCGGGGAGAGTGCTGTGCCCTTATGCAACTTGGAAAGTTTGGGATAAGCAATGGGACATCACTGTGTGCACTGTTTCTGATTCACAATTTGAAATTAGTCTGTATTGAGGTAACGAGGCATTCATCTAGGACCACAAAATCATCCTGCCCCTTCCCAACCAATTAATGTTTAATCCTGCCTGTCCACTCCCTGCCAAAAACTTCAAGCTGATACCCCTTTGTGCTATCTGAGCCCATTTGTTTTCATTCTATGTAATGCTTGAGATTGGTAAAAGAAAAGGGGTTGTCAATTTTGCATAAAAACAACTGTTGTCCAAATTGGTTTTGCTTATACTCTAGACCTGTGATGAGGTGGCTAGATGAGAGACTCTGATGGTAGCATCCAAGGCTGGATTGCATCATGTAAATCAATTCATGCATTAGATGTTCCTCACTTTTTCATGTCAGGCTTTTTACAGTTAACCAGTTTTCTTGTAGAAACTGCGGGCTGCCTCTTTAAAGCATACGGATCTTACCCCATGCTGCCATCGACAACCTGCCGGTATACAGAACCATCAAAGTTCTAAATAGTCACCATTGGTGGTTTATTGCTTATCACAGGTGCACTTAACTCGGACAGTAAATCACCTGTTTTGGCTTTAGTTTCTTTAAATTACAGTTTACATTTTTGTAGACCTGCACCTTTAATGGGGTGCACAGGTATTGTTAATTATTAGTTGTGTTGAGTTTTGAATAATATACATGTATTATCTTGAGAAATTGAATTCAGTGATAAAATAATGCCAGTGCACAGAAAAGTTCAGTCATTTCAGAGTGTCTGCAGATCCAATCGAGCAAAATTTGTTCTTATTTCAATTTTTTTCCGGCTTGCAGAAGGAAATATTGGGACTTCCTTCCCTGTGATGCTTCACTTATTATTTATTTGAAATGGACTTTTGCTTTTCAACATTTACATGCAGTTGCAATGTTTTGATTGTTGCCTGGCAAAGATGTCTGGGATGTGATTATCTGTGTAATGGATTAGATGTTGAAAGCCACCATAATTGGGCCAATTTATCATTCAGTCTGGCAATCAGCCAAATTGGTCACATGGGATGATCTCTATTGAGAAGAAGGTTTCAAGCATTTTAGAGTTAGTTCCAGCAGCACAGCTAAATTCTGTTAAAGCTAAAATGCTGCTCATCTGGAGAGCAGTCTGAGAATTTTTTGTGTGATTAAAACGCAGATTTTAGACATCCAGCTGGGCGCCATTTCATGAAGGAACTAAGCAGAAAATATTGCGTTGCAGATTTCTGTGCTAAGGAAGAATTAAGCAGAGAACCAGCATGATGCAATAAACTTTGTATGGCACATTGGTTACCATTTCTCTGAGCATAGTTTAAATATGAGCTTGCATATCTCAGGACTCCACTTATTGACATTTTCATATAGACAATGGCACCTTGTCGTGCCATCAGCTGTCGCAACAAAATGAAATTGTGTGTTGATATGCTACACTGTACTTGTTTTAATATCGCATTGCAATGATTTTATACAGCAAGTTAACAGCCCAACTTGCAACAGTGGTATACATGTAATGTGATGTTATAGATATTAAAAAGTAGTAAATAGATCCCATGACAGTCATTATTCAATTCTAGGCAAGAATTTCACAGTAAGACGTTCATGTTTTTAAGCATACTTCTGCATCAAGCCAGAGCAAAGCAACCAACAATCATCATCACCCTTGCTTTAAAAGGTCCAAACTTTCACTTTAATCAGATTCCTTTTTTTTTTTCAAAAATCTCGTTAATCCCACTGTGGTCCATTTCATGGGTAATTTGTCACACAAGCCCAGAGCTATCATTGTGCACATCAATTTATCAAATTGTGCCTGGCATCTTTATTGCAGGCTTGTTGATAGAAGCAGATGTTCTCAGAATCCAGATGGAGAACCTGTCTACATTCATTTGGTTATTTTTGGAGGAAATCTTGCAAAACTGAACGCATAAACAAAAGCTGTTCTGAATGTTATATTCTCTTCGACGTTTTGTTTGTGCCAGACAAAGTCCAATTTTTCACGCAGGGTTTGGAAGGGACCATAAAGTGACTACACTTACATGCAGACTTTTAGGCTCTCACCTCCTGAATCAGATATACACATTAACCCTAACAGTCCCAAATCCTCCAATTTCAATATGATTTTACATACACCCTAGGGGGTTAGGGTTAAACATTTGGGAAGAATTGAAGTTCTGTGTATTGTCGATTTTGATGACGTTGATCCTGGTAAATGCATTAATTTCACGATAATCTAAAAAAAGCAAAATTAGCACTCTGCTTATACGGTATATACATGTATATGTTTCCATCCCCCAAGTTTAGTAACGTCCCTATGTTTATGTAGTGTGTGGAAGTCCAAAATGTCTAAGAAAAACAGACTATCAAGTACATTAGTATTAAGTTGGTTCTTGAAGATTCTCATATGGTCTGACATGCAGCTTTTGAAAGGAGTCCTGTTTTTCTTGTTTCTTCGTTGCAGGGTTATGGATGGAGTTGCCAAAGCAGATGAGGAACGTGTAAAAGAGGAGGCAAACAGTGACAAGGATCAGAGGGAGGAGGAATCAGCAATGTAAGAGCCACTTTTCATGCCGATGATCAAATCCAGAACTAAGGCTACATATACAGATGCGCAAGTGAAGCAATACATTATGAAGAGTACAAATTCTTTCTTAGGCAGCCAAATGGCTTGGTTTAATGTGAACATTTTAACAACATATTTAGTTGCGTGTAAAAGTTCTTCAGAGCATGGGCAAGAAAGAAATTACCTTGTTCCTTTTGGCACTTTTTTTCATGTTTGATTCTGTTTCACAAAAAATTGAAATCAAGTGAATTTCTTTTTTTGGGGGGGGACTTTTTATTCCCTGGCAGAACACCTCCAGAACCTTTGAAGGAAATCTTAGACTCCACGTCAGCCTACATGGAAGCCATCTTGACTGATATCCCAGTCGGAGAATGCCTTACGATGGACCCTACCAGCACAGGCTACCACCAGAGTCTGTCCAGCGTGCTGACTTACCTGTTAGTGTGGAGACTATACCTGAGGATGTTCAAAGCTGCTTCAGCAGAGGTGAGGTGTTTTGAATTGTCTTTATGAGAGCTACTGTTTTGAGAATTGAAGCTTGAAACATGTAGAGCACAGTTTATGTGAAATGCGGATTTGTCTTATTATTAAAGTATAAATCATTCATGAGTCTGCCTTTCTTTGCTGTGTCACTGACAGTAGCACGTATGCCACCATTTTGCCCTGTTTTGAAATCGACCACAACGTGATTTTGCTGTTTATGCACTTCACTCAGTCTCGGATTTATTTTTATTTGACCTTGTGGTTTCTGACATCCAACCCAACCCACAGGTCCGAGCCAAGTATGCCAATTACCTTCGTCAGACAGACGGTGTGGCCAGCCTGATGGCAGACATTTTCAGACTGATGCCTGACCCCCCTTTGATCAGTGGTCCTACCCCCAAGGGACCTGCACCCAGGAATATGTTCAACATAGCTCCGCCAATGAAAGCCAAAGGTACCTCATCATTCAGTTCGTGTTGTAGCGAGTAGGACCAAGTTAAATGTCAAATACTGAGGCTGCATCCGAATCTCTTGTCTAGAGCTTGGTCTAGGTCTTCGCTCCATTGGAAATGCGCAGCTCTGGAAGCCCGTTTCGGACACGGCCTGAGTTGGTGTGATTTCAAACAAGCTAAATCAGATAAACTTCAATGCTTAACTGTATCTGCCCTGCACAGAAGCACCCCCCGTCATCAGTTGAAAACAGCCATGCTGGTGGGGAGTGTTGGTAGCAAGGCTAACGCGACGTATGCATTTCATAGTCATTCGTTAACCAGCAAAGTGCATTTCCTACCAAAAGAGCTTCTGTTGCTGGGAAAATTACCCCCTCTCTTGGTCCCGCTTAGGGCCCATTAAATAACAGAACATTAATCCAGTATGTCAGACTATCACCAAATATTTTAACCAGTTTAACGTAGAGAAATCATTTTACCACATAACCAGGCATTTCATATAAACTTTTTTGGAGTTTCAGATGACATTTTTGTTTCCAGTTTTTTTTTTTTCACTACTGTCTACATTATTCATATATTGCATTGAGCCATTGAGGATTGTAATAACTGTACGGAAGCTTGGCTGTACAAAACTTTGATAGTCCTAAGCCTATCGTTGCTAATATTGT